AGTATTGAGAATCTTTGTTAAGTATCACTCTATTGACTTCAACAAGAAAATTTTACTTTTTGACAGATAGGAAAAAAAGTACAATATTCTTAACAAAAGTTGTCACTAACCTTGTCAGTATGGATTTAGAGTATGAATATGCATCTATCCTTGGTAAATATATCATCTGGTTTGCTCGAGTCGTAATAGAGATATTCAATTTTCTTTTCAATAAAGTGTCTGTTTCCTGTATATTGTTTTTTTCTCATCTGTGAGATAGTAAAATTTTCTTGTTGAGGTCCATAGTATTCTCAATACTCTTGTCCGTATGTATTTGGAGTGTGAACATGCCTCTATCCTTGGTAAAAATAAAAATGAACTCGTTTGGTCGAGTTGTAATGGAGATATTCAAATTTTTCTTTTGCTAAACGACTTACGGAACACCCTATAGAATGTATTCATATACATATTTTTGGAAAAAGTTTTTTTTTTTTTTTGAGTTCGGAAAATTATTCCCTAGAGAAAAAAAAAGTTTACTTAGTACATTACCTTTTCATATGAAAATTACTTCATATAATCTATGACATATGTTAAATAAATCTGTTCTTTTTGTTTTCATTAAATATTATAAGGTAAGTCATAATTAACTAAATGATAAAAAGTAAAATTTCGAATATATATATATATCTCAATTTTACGTTAATCAAATAAATTACTTTTTTTTAATGTTGTTGTATGATTAATAAAAGAAAAATTATCTATAGATCAATCCATAGGTATTTTTCTTATAGCACTTCAGCCAAAAAAAAAAACCAACTCAATAGATAGAACCAAAACCAAGATATTCCAACCTTGTACTGTATAGTAATGTTATGTTTCAGTTCTGAAGAGGGAAACTGGCTTCTTCTTTTTTTTTTCTATTTCTACAATAGAGACATATATTGTTCCAATAGAATAGTTTGTACCTAATACATTGTCAACACTTTATAATGAAAGAAAAATGTTAGACCCATCAATCAGAAGACTTCATGCATAGACAAATATATTCATATCAAAGATTTCCTTTTCTTTTTTTTTTTTGTTTTCTTTGATGTTCTATGACTTTTGGCAATGATGCATTAGTGAAGACATTTAGTGCTTATTACAAAAAATAACTTTTTTTTTTTTTTTTTGTTTTCAATTAAGATATGCATTTTTTTAAAGATATTTTATAATTAGATTTGACTTTAATATTAAAACTACACATTGAATTGATAGACAGGTGTATACATAATGGATAGAACATAATGAATAGTTGATATCGTTTTGTATTTCATATGAAAAAAGTCTTTTTTTTTGTACATAACAAATATGTTTTTTTTTTCTTATTTACCACTTGAAGTTTTATTTAATGCAAAATACATCACAAGATGAAATATAAAAAGCTCTACAATTTACAAAGACAAGTTGATTTTATATATATGCACCATTTGTTTTCATAATAAGCAAAATTCTGTACGAACAATTTTCATCGTTTCAAAAAAAAAAAAAAAATCATTTTTTTTTCTGCACAAATCAAAAATTTCTTTGTTCTGTTCTTTCATCTTTTTTATTCTCTAATAGTGTCTTCATAAAGAAAAAGAAAAAAACATACCACAAGATGCAGCATGAAAAGCTCTACAGTTTACACTGTAAAGATCGTTGTAACTTTTTTTCAAAAAAAAAAAAAAAAGTAAAATTCTGTGCAATCAATGTTTGCAAGGTCGAAATTTTGTTTATTTTGAATATAAAAAGTGTAACTATAAATGAAATACATAAACGCGACCATTCATTATATATCTATTGCGTAATTGTAATAAACTCATAATTATATAATCCATACTGATAAGAATTTACTTTCTTTGTCATTCTAACTTATACATTTAATAAAATTACAAGGTCATCTATTTTTAAAATATCTATATATTCATACAAAATTATTAGTATTATTTTTCAAAGTCAATTTAATTTTGTTTTTTGTGTTATTCAAAATCTACTCATTTGATTTAGTAGTGTCAACTAGTTTCTTGTTTCAAGGCAAATATAACATTTCTATCTCATATCAGTTGGTATTTATTTGTTTGTAATTTAATATGAACCTGAAGCAAATCCGAATAGATCAAGTTCATATATAAAAAACCTTGAGTAATTATCATATTTATTTGAATGCATTTATTTTCTATTCAGTCAAATCTTAATCGATATCTATTCAATCAAATATTATCTATTGTAATCGAAAGAAATTGCTTTTATTCAAGGTTTATAAATAGAACAGAAAATTTGAGATTGTGTGTAAATGCCTTTATTTATTCCTTATCAATTTCATATAGATAATCGAACATATACATTAATTACTACAACATTTAGCTTGAACATATTCCATTCTTAAAAAAAAAAAACCACACATAGGTCATTATTTAATTTTATGATGTAAATTCTCGGCGAGATGATGTATGTGAATATGAAACACCACCGCCACCTTGTGTTCCACCATAACTAGTACTAATTCGGGTTGGACTACCCATTGAACTACTAAATCCAGCACTAGTTGTACCTGATCCTGAAGATGAAACATATGTACGTTTAATTGTTGTTGAACCACCACCACCACCTGAATATGAAAGTGAACCAGCAACATCTATACCACCTGCTGCACGTTCATGTTCATATCGTCGTGCTTCTTCAAGAACATGATCAACAATTTGTTTAAGACCTTCACGATTAGTTGTTCCTTCAAGTAAATCTCTATATGTAGTTATTTCTTTTTCTAATGATGTTTTCATATTTGTAACTTCTTCATATTGTTTTTGTAAAAGTTCTAATTTACGACGTAATTCTTCTATTTCAGCTGTACGTCTTTGTATTAAACGACTACCTGGGGAGAAAAAAAGAAAATTTTTTTTTTTTTCAAAATTATTTAATAGAAATAAAAAGAAAGAAATATTAATTTTTACCATCATCACGTTCTTGAGTAATATTTATTTGTAATTCTTTTATTCTATTATTTAATTCTTCATTTCTTGCTTTCATATGTGCAACTTCATTACGTGTTGATAATAATGTTGTACGTAATCTTTCTTCTTGAATTCTTTGTTGTTCAGTTTGTATTGGATCAAGTTCAGGTTTTTGATATCTTAATATAAGTTCATTATATGACATCATATAACGATTATGTAATTCAGCACGTTGTTGTTCATTAGCTGCTTCAAATTGACTACGAATATCACGAATAGCTTGTGCTAATTCATTACGAAAAAAATGTGAAGGATCTAAACTAACATCAACAACAGTTTTTGAACGTAATTCATTTAAATCAGCTTCATGCATTTGTTTAATCATAGCAAGTTCATCTTCTAATGCCATTTTTTCTGTATCAAGTGTACTTTTAACAAATGTTTCATTTTGTATTTCATTTTGTAAACGTGCTATTTCAGATGCTAAACGTTGTGTTTCAGCTTTATAACGTCTTGCTTCATCTTCAAGATCAGCTAAACGACGACGAAATAAATTAATTTGTGCTTCATTTTCAGCTATTTGTTGTTGAAGACGATCAATTGCTGTACGATCTGTTTCACGATTATTTAATATTTCATCATAACGTTTACGATAACGACCAGCTTCTTTTTCAGCTTCACGAGCTTTAACTTCAGCTGCTGCACGATCACGTGCTGTATCATCAATTAATTTTTTTGCTTCACTCATTTCAACTTCATACATTTCTCTTATTTTTGATGAACCTTGTCCAGATTTATTTTGTAATGCATCTAATTCTAATTGTAATTTACGATTTTGTGCTTCAAGAAATCGTACTTTTTCAACATATTGTGCAAATTTATCATTTAATTGACATAATTCACGTTTTTCTCTTTCACGTGTTTCATTAACAGCAACTAATGCTGTTACACCACGATTTGGTCGTAATGGTATACCAGCAAAATTTCCAAGACCAGCTATTGCTGCTAAACCAGCACCAACACCACCAGTATTAAAACCACCACTACTACCTGATACAGCATAATTTTGATACATTCGTGTTGTAATACCAGCTGCACCACCAGCACGACGTTGAACATTAGTTGAACGAGGTGTTATTTGAGATTTATATGTTGTAAATGATGAACTAGCTCTAAGGTCATCATCGAAGCCTGGCATTTTGATGTTAGTATTTGTTTCGATGAGAAGATCTGAAGAGAGAATAATAGTAGAATAATTATATACTTAACAAGTAGAAGACATCTGTAGACAAAGAGTAAAACAAAAAAAAACTAAAATGAATGTTGTACAGAGCCAACATGTCCCTTTTATTGATCAATTTCTTTTTCTTTCATCTTCTACATTTTGTGATTCGATGAGAAAGAGCAAGCAAAGAAATCTTACATGTTTGCTAATGCTCTTTCCCTCGATCGTTTGTGGCCGTTGTCGTGCACACCCATTAAAATAAGTTTTTCTTTTTTTTTTTTTTTTTACTAAGAGAGAATAACACTTTTTTTTTCTCTCTCTCTCTCTTTTTCCTCACTACTCTTTGTTGCTTCGACTCTGCGGTTAGTTACCTACCGCATATACACGACAAACAATAAAGTGCATACCAAATACATCCATAAAAGAAAAACACACCGGGCAGCAGCAGTAGGAGAGGGAGAGGGAAAAAAATGAAAGAGAAAATTAATGTTATTCTTTCTCTATGAAGTTGATCAATTTTATGCAAATAAACCGATTCATGCATAGCTCAGCCTAAAGACACTGACGTTCGCACAAATAACAGATATGAGGCATGGCATTAAACATAATATTATAAATTTCTCTCATGGAATTCCAATCTACGTAAATATTTGTCAAAGATAGATAGATAGATATATGTTTATTAATGTCACAACTCTAAATTAAAGGTAAAATGGGAAATATTGTTCAAACTACGAAAAAGAAAAAAAGAAGAATTGTTTAGTCAATTAAAAAATTAAAATATTTTTTTTTTTTTTTATTTCAGCATGTAAAATAATTAATAATTATCCATGAAGAGTACTACCACCAGATGAATATGATGTTGAATAAGTAACTTCACGTATATTATGAGAACTACTTGGTATTGAAGTATTTCTTATTAAACGTAAATTAAGTGAATCAAGTAATGATCTACCACGATTCATAATTTTTTCAGCTTCTTCAGCAAAATGTCGTAGACCAACTTGATTTGTATTACCTTCAAGTAATAAACGATAACGACGTATTTCTTCTTCTAATGTTGTACGATATTTTTCTAAATCATTTATATAATTTTTAAGACGTTCTATTTCATCACGATAATGTTTTTGTTCATTAATTAAACGTTGATCATCTTGATATGTTGATGATTGTATTTGTTGACGTATATCAACTATTTGTCTATCAAGATCTTGATTTTCAAGTTGTAAATTATTTACACGATTACGTACATCAGATATTGTACGAGTTATTTCACGTATTTTATCTGTTTGCCATTGTGATTCAATTTGTTGTTTTGGTTGATGATATTCAATTAATGCACTAATTTTAGCTTGATAATAATTTTGTAATTGTTGTTGTTGTTGATCAGTTATATTTTCAAATTGTTTACGTATTTCACGTATTGATGATGTTAATTCACTTTCAAAAAATGGTGCTGGATCAACATTAGCTATAGCTACTTTTGAACGAAGTTGTTCAACATCAAATTTATGTGCTGTATCAAGTGCTTTTAATTCTTGTTCAAGTACAGTTTTTTCAGCTAATAATAATTGTTTTTGTGTTGCTTCATTAGCTATTTCAGTTATAAGATTAGCTATATCATTACGAATTCTTTGTAATTCAGCATTATATAATGCTATTTCATCATCATTATCAGAAATAGTTTTACGAATTAATTCAATTTTTTTTTCTAAATCAAGTATTTTTTCTCGTAATTGTTTTAATTGATTTTTAATATTATTTATTTGATCTGGTCGTTGTATATTCATTAAACGTTGTTCAGCTTGTTTATAACGTGTTTCAGATTCTTGTCGTTTTATTTGTCCTGTACGTATATCATCATCCATACGTTTTAATGTATCTTCAGCTTCTTTTTTTTCACGTATTATTATTTCATTTATACGTTGTAAACCAATACCTTTTTTATTTCGTATATTATCTAAATCTCGACTTAATTTACGATTAACAGCTTCTAAATAACGAATTTTACCAATATATTCAGCAAAACGATCATTTAATTCCGCTAATTGTCGTTTTTCTTCAACACGTTGACTAGTAAATGGTACTAATGCCCAATGTCCACTATTAATACTACCACGTAATGGTACAATACTACTTGATACAGATTGTGATATACTCATTTTTGATGTAACATTTCGATTTGTACCACCTAAATTTTTTACTGGTCGAGTTACAATAACTTGACGTGGTGTTATAGCTGACATATAACCAACAGTTGTATCTGTTGAACTTAAATGTGGTGTACTTGTATATGTTTCTTCACGTTGCATATCATAGATAGTCGGCATTTTAGTGTTTAAACTTTTCTCGAGTCAAAAATTACGAATTGGAATCCAAGAAGAAATATGTATCAATATACTCTCATTTATATAGATGGAATAGAAAAAAAAAAAACCCCGAGAACAGAAATATGGCTATGCAAAATAATATATTTAATATCTCATCAAAACTTATAAAATGTGAATATGATAACATATTATTCTGCGGTTGATTTAGAAATAGTATGCAATACTTAAGATTTACTAGTCAATAGAATTTCTATTACACACACACAAAAAAAAACCGCAATTACTCTTACCTGATTCTGTTATGGATAATGGCCATGATAGAGAACTTGATTGCAATGACATTGAATCGGAAGCTAAAAATATACATTAATGTATGAATAGAATATTATTGAAATCGAAAAAAAAATGCTTTTTGTATTAGAATATAATTTAAATGTTTTATCCATACGTATGAATAAGAGTAAGAAAATGATTTTTTTTTATATAGACTATAGAAGGTATTGAAAAGTAAAAGATGATCTTATAGATGTAAGGAATTATTATAAAAAAAAAAATTAAATTATTTTAGAATTTTTGAAAATCAAAACGAACTATTTCAACGTATATAATTTATCAATTGCATGAAATAGATGAGAAATTGATTACTGATGCCACTGTAAGTCGCTGCGTTAGCCTAGACATGCACGTATAGAATAAAGTTATGGTTGACCTTATGTTTTTAATTTCTACCAAATCGTTCTTTAATCAACTTATGAGGGAACTTCTTCAAGTGTTAATCGTCGATCGAGCTCATATTTTGCCCATAAGTAAGACTCGATGAGACTAACAGAAGCCCGGAAGGATTTGTCCCCATACGTTGTCATTTTGGAGTAACGACCGTTCTACTGGTTTTACCAACTCTGGCAATGGTTTTATAGGGAAGTCTAACAATGAAATTTTGCCCATAAACAGATCTCATGGTCGCTAAAATATCCTAAAAGTTTCAGCTAAAATGAACGTTTCTTTCTCAAGATATTGAATTTTTAAGGAACGATCATATTTCAAAGGCAAACGTCAAAAAATCGAGCTTCTTAGAAACTCAATATCTCGAGAAAGAAACGTTCACTTTAGCTAACACTTTTAGGACATTCTAGTGACCATGAGACCCGTTTATGGACAAAATATCAGGTTAAAATTCCATTGCCAGAGGTTGAAAAACCAGTAAAACGGTCGTAATTCCGGAATGACAGCGTGTAGGGACGAATCCTTCCGGGCTTCTGTTAGTCTCATCGAGTCTTACTTATGGGCTCGATCGGCGATTAACACTTGGGGAGGTTCCTTCGTTAGACTATAGATAAGATTTTCACATTGAAATGTTAGAAAATACTCCATCATTAGGTTCTCTACGACTTGTTCGATTGGTAAATAAAGTAAGACTAAACCTTGAGAATGAAGCCTTTCTCAAACCAGAAAAATCATACTTGAAAATTTCAATAAATCTTCTATAGATTCAGTTCTCTAAATCTTGAAAACTTTTAGTCTATTGTGATAAAATTCAGATGTTTTCTTATGCAATAACCTTCCCGACTGAGAAAATTGTACAACCTTGGTTTAATATAAATAAATTTTATATTTATTTACTTGGTATTATTGAAATATAAGTTGGTTTATTAACAATTATTTGTACATATTCACATTGATTATACCATAATGAATGAAATAATAAATAACATTGTTCAAGTGTTATTAATGTTGAAATATTATTTATAGAAATAATTTCATCACCAACACATAAATTTGGACAATAATTTGAATCAATAATTGAAGATATTATTATATTACCATCTATTGTTTGTGCTAATTCAAATCCATAATGTCCTATATGATTTGATTGACGTTGTATAGTTAATATTAAACAATATTGTTCATTATTATTAGCTTTTATAATTTTATCTTCAATAGTACGTTCACCTAATGTTGTTGATTCTTCACTTATAGGTGTTAATATATGTTGATTTTGTTCGAATTTATCAATTGATTGTAACATTGTTTGATATTGATCAATATTAGTTACATATCGTTGATATAATTCTTCAAAATCTTCATCAATATCACTGATTTTTTGACAATATTTATCATTTTCTTCATTAAATAATGATTTATGATGATGATGATGATCATTTTGATTTTTTAAAAAAGAATTATTAAATATTTGAGATAAATTATTAATTGATGAAAGATCTGATTTTATTACATTTACATTTTGTTCAGGTTCAATTAATGATTCAACTTCATGAGTGATACTGTCTAAATTATTAATTTCATTAAATGATTCATAAGTTAATTTTTCAGATGGAGTTGATAAAGTTTGATAGACTATAGGATTTGAATTACTAACTTTTATCGATTCATTTTGATTATCTGTTAAAACTTTGAAAGAATAATCATTTGAATCTTGTTCATTAATTTTTAGTTCTTTTTCAGTTTGTATTGTTATATCATTTGAAATAATAGATGAATGATCAATATTTGATTGTTTTTTATTCATATCATAAACTATATTAATAAGATTTTCCATAGATGAATGTTTATCTATATCATCATCTTTTATTATTAAATGATCAATATTATATGTTAATGTTGGTTCATATTGTAATAAATTTTCTTGATGTTTTATTGATAATAATTGATTATCTGTATGATTGAATGTATCTATTAGTTCAGAAAAATTATTTGTTAATATATTTTGTTGATTTATTTGATTAGTTGATATAGATGAATTATAATAATTATTATTTTCTGATATTTTAATAATATTTAATAAATCATTATGTGTAACTAATGAATCAGGATCAATTTCCATATGAAATTCATCAGCTGTATTATAAGATATTGTTGTTTCATCATCAAGATCAATTAAACTATCCATATCCATCGTTTCAGAAGTTTTTACTGTTGATTTTATCTAATAAGAAAAATAAATTTCATTTATAAAAATTTGTACTTATAAATAATTCTTATAGAATTAAAATACAAAAAAAAAACACAATAAATCTCTTGACATTATGAAAAGAGAACATTTCTTAACGTATGTTTCAGTTTATGATTTATTACCTACGATTAATGAATACCATATGTTTTATAATCATCTTACAGTAAATTTCCTTCTCATGAGTATATCTGCTATCGTTCATACGAAAGGAATGATAATACTTAAGCATTCGTTATAGAAGAAAAACATCTGTCAAGGTCCATAATAAACGGAAAAGAAAATGTTACTAAAGATATCTATCATGTTAATAAAGTAATTTTCATAGCTTATATTCATAAGAAGTTATGAGAAAATAATATACTTTTCTTATAAATATGAACATTTCTTCTTTTTCTTGATTAGTGACAAATGTTTTCAACTAAAACTAAAATAATCATGGGTATCCGTTTCCAAAAAACAAAAAGGCAATATATTTTTGATGTTGTTCGTAGTTTTTACAAGTTCTTAAATAAAGATAATAGTTTGCTTAGACATACATTATTTTTTGATTTTATTAATTTTTCATTAAGATGTTTTGGTGAAGAATGATGATCTATATTCTTATGTAAATCAAATGATGATAAAGCTGAATCAATTGTTTCACATGGTTTTTCAATTGAATTGATTGATGTTTTTTGTTGAATATTTTCTAAAAAAGTTGATTGATTATCTAAATTTGTTGATATTGTTTTTAATGTCTTATAATCAAAATTAACATTAAGTAAAAGTGGTGATGGACTAATTGTTGTACGATCACCAATTGATGTACGAAAACTACCATGAATTATTTCTTTATCATTGATTGTATCAATAGATGTATTTTGTATTATTCTTGGATTACTTAAACCTGTTGATAAATATGTATTCATAAGAATTGTATGTTCATTTTTATCAATATGAAATTTAGGTAAAGGACATTGTTCGGTTAATTGATTTTTAATAGATGAAGTTATTGTCCATGGAGATTTTTCATTCCATGCATCTATCATTGGTGTATGAAAAATATATTCATTTTCTTGTAAACGACGTGTTTTTTTATCTAATTCACCATAAAGTTCTCGAATTTGATCATCTGTATAATTTGGCATTGAAGATGGTATTGTTGGAGAATTTGCTGCTTGATAAGCTATTTCACGACCACGAATAATCATAGCATTTGATGTTGGTTTTTTTATTATTTGACGACGATATATAAAACATGCATCAGTTAAAATTTGTGTCGGTAAATTGTTACGTTGACATTGACGATATTTATTCAATAACTGATGTGAAGAACTAAAAGATGAAAATCATATTTTTCTTCGTTTTAGTGTGGCAATTGTAATATTTCATAATCGTTACGGCGAAGATACAAAGAATCGTTATAGAAGTTAAAAATCATGTTTTATAAGAGTAGAATATGAGATGAAATTTTTCAACACACATCAATGACGTATCCAGGATTTTTCAGTATGTTGAATCTCGATCTCTGAGCATGGGGGATCCAGATAAAACTCATGGAAGGTGGTGTTGGATATAAATGATGGAATTTTATCAAAAAAAAATTGCACTCAGAGTTTGCGAAAAAAATTAGCATTTTTCTAATCCTCCCCTCTAAAATTTTTTGCTCTTAGGAGTATCATGGTTTTTAGAATTTCGTAGAAAGCTACACCGAATTTCATCGACAGATTTCAAAGTTCGTCTAAAAATATGCAACCGTTCAAGAGTTATGACGTTTTGAATTTTTGCTACATGTGAAAACAATTTTTGCATAATTTCAAAATGTCATAACTGTGGAATGATTGCATATTTTTTGACGAGATTTGAAATCTATCGATGAAATTCGGTGTAGCTTTCTATGAAATTCTAAAAACCATGATACTACTAAGAGCAAAAAATTTTAGAGGAGAGGATCAGGAAAATGCTAATTTTTTTCGCAAACTCCGAGTGCAAATTTTTTTTGATAAAATTCCATCATTTATATCCAACACCATCCTCTATGAGTTTTATCTGGATCCCATGCTCAGAAATCGAGATTCAACATACTGAAAAATCCTGGATACGTCACTGACACACATAGGTCTATTTATCTTGTATAGCTTCTGAACTTTTCGATATTATCAAAATTATAAAAAGAAAGTTTTCCAGGAAATCTCCAAAAACGTGAGAAGAACTTAAACATTCACAGAAAAAGTATTCGGACTAACGAGGGAACGTTTTCAACTGTCAAATCGCTTTTGAATTCAGACTGTATGCATAAAGTAGACCCCATTGGGATATGACAAATCCCAAAAGGATAAGTGCTCTTAGGTCTTCTGTCCAGAATTATAGGCTTTTTACTGTAATTTTAGCCTATGGCATGATATATACCAAAAACTCGAATGACGGTATGTCGAACTGCGATTTAGTCTACAGACAAGTCTATTACTGAGCAAAATGTCCTGAAAATTTCAGTTCGAAAAACTATCTCCTTCCAGAGATATTGAAGTCTCAAGCATCACTCATATCCGATGAACGATACTAAAATATTCTGTTTTTTAAGACTGTAATATCTCGGGCAGGAAACATTTTTTCGAACTGAAATTTTCATATCATTTTTCTCAGCAATAGGCCTGTCTATGGGTTAAATCTCAGCTCGAAATACCCCCATTCGATTTTTTGGTATATATCATGCCATAGGCTAAAATTGCCTATAACTCTGGACGGAAGGTCTAAGAGCACTTATCCTTTTGAGATTTTTCATATCCCAATGAGATCTACTTTATGGATAGAGTTTGAACTCAAAATCGATTTGACAGTTGAAAATACTCCCTAGAAAGATTTGTGTCTGTACATATTTTTAAGTCGAAATTCGAAAATTAGTCTTTCTAATGTTTTTTGATGCGGGTAATGCCACTCATTTTAATAAAGTATAGTATCTTCGTAGCAATAAGCTAAAATGATAGAAAATCTTTTCCGGATATTCGTATCTCATTTGGATCTAGACTCAAAAGTTGTTTATCTGTTGAAGAACTTCTTTTGCAAATGTGTATCAAAAAATGATATTACATGATTCTTAGTTATTCTTCTACTTACATTCCAGTCGGCGATTTTTCTGATTGAATATTAACTTGATCTTCTGATGTCTTTGTTTTTTTTTTCATAGATTGTTCCGATAAATCAAATGATTTTTGTGTAGCCATTGAATCATCTTCTTCACTTAATTCTGGTGATGCTAAACTTCGATGTTTATTAGAATTTGATGTAAAACTATGATCAACTAATAAAAAAATAAATATTATATTAATTAAATTTTTGTAAAATTTTCTCATTTATATAATATTTACTATCTGTTTCAACAAAACCACTATCTCTATAAGTATTAGAATTTCGTTGTTGTTCAATTGACATTGATTTTTTTTTAATTGAAAATAAATTTGAAAGTCTATTTGAATCAGTAGTTGATGATAATTTTTTATTTTCAATTAATTCTTCATTTTGTGATAAATTTTCAAATTCATGAAATTTTAATATACCTAAATGTTTTATTGTTATATTATTATATAAAGATTGATCTAAACTACGACATATGCCAATTTGAATTAATTTATTTTTTCGACGTAAAGTAATAAATTCTGATTTAACACGATCAATTGTTAATGCTATTGGTGGTTTAAGAATATTATGTTCATTAAGAAATATTAAAACATCTCCTAAAAAACAAAAAAAATCAAATAATGTATTCACTCTTTTAAATCAATTTTATATTATAAAGTAAAACGCTTTCATAAACTACTGCAAATTATAAAATAATAAATATCGACCTATTAATTCTACTGCAAGGTAAGCAGATTCGTTCTCTTCTATACATTCAATAAATATATATATATGGTTGAGTTCTTTTACAAGTAAATGCTTTGCAATTTGATATGTAATTTTTTTTTTTTTTTTTATGATTCAATTTTTCTATTCATAGACGTTGTACCATTAGTTCAACTTGAATGGAATAAAAAAAATATATATATCTTCTATTAATTATTCATTTTCTATAGTAAATAATATATGAAATAAATTACAATCATTTTTAATATAATTAATTTTATTTTTAATTATTAATAACGAATTAGAAAGATTAATTCTATTTTAATCATTATTTTTCAATATGAAATTTCATCATTGAATTATATTTTCGAAAGAACAGATAATAAAACAGAATAAGAATTACGCAGAAACATAATAAAACCAGAATATATATTGTATGAGCACGTATATCATCATTATGTAATAATCAAATCCGGTAAATCATTTCAATCTTATTCAGAACGAATAAACCTAAAATAAAATTTTTTTTCATTTTTATAATACATTATTTAAAAAATGTTTGATTAATTAAATTTTAAAAAAACAAAATAATAGGAAATGAAAACACATTTATAATGTAATTTTCAAATACAATTCTCTCGAATGAATATAAAGACCCACTTTTTTGTTTTACGATGTAAATTTGATTCAATTATTGCTGTATGATAAAATCTGATCTGTCAAAATCGAAGACTAAAACATAATTTGCTTCTGTCACTGAGACTGCGATCGAGCATTTCTGTTTATATAGTTTGGTATTTTCAGCTAAAAATCAAATCAGTACCAGTTACTAATCCGCATACTGATAGACCAGTTTTTCCTAGCTGAAGTACGACAACTATATCGAAAACATATTTTTTGAATTGTATCCAATTCTAATTGATATTGTTTTCAGAATAATATGTTTACACTAGGGAGAAAGAGTTAAAAGTTTCTTTTTTTTAATGTTTTGATAATAGAATACAGGTAATTTTTTTTTAAGCAAATAATAGAAAATTTCTCAAGATTACAAAGAATTATGTCATATGTTTATAATCGTCGATAAGATTCATTTTTGTTTTTGAATGTGAGAAATAATTTTTGAAGTCGAGAAAATGAACTAATATGTCTTCTATTTTAATATCTACATGTAAATAGTACAAGATGTTTTTTTTGTTTCTTTCTTACCTGATAAAAATCATATGAATGAATTAATATTATTTAAATTATAACGTTTAATTTGAAATTAATGAATATGCCATAAAATCCATATTTTGAATTGTATTTAAATAAATAAATTTGTTTTTTATTATCAAAAATATAATGTTTATTATTCATGTTTTTTTGATAAATTCAATTTTGTATCCGAAAAAAAATTAAATTATTTTTATTTTTTTTTTCTCTTGCATTTACCATTAGTATTATACATTGAATTTATTTAGCTTATATATATATAATCTGATATGATTTAGAACGTGTAAGTTTATGTTCAATTATTCTTTTGCATGGTTCAATGAAAATACGAACATATAAAAACGTACAAATAGGAAAAAAAGAATATTTTATCATAACAAGTCAATCTCGAATATGATTTATTGAATGATATTAAATAGTTGAATTATATTATACTATCTAATTACTTTGATGACAAATAAATAATAAACTAAGTAAATTTTTTTGTAAAAAATTTCTCATTTAAATAAAATCTAATAACTTACCATTTCGAAGACCTATTTTATATAATCCATTTGAAATATTTGAAAAAATTAATAAACGTTTATCATTTAAACAAGTATTTAAATGAAGATTACGTTCACGACTTATATCAAATATATAAAATTCAAGTGAATTATTTTGTTCATCTATTGGTGATGGTGATATATTATTATTATTATTAATATTACGTTGTTTTTTTAATGAATGTGTATCATTATTAACACAACTAAAATTACCTAGAAACAAGAAAAAAATATAATAAAATAATTAAAAAACTAAAAAAAGATTAACAAATGTAATACCAGAACATCTATATGATGTCGAACATTTTTTCATTTCTTTTTTTAATAAAGAAACAAGTGCAATCTTTTCATGTAAACGATAATAACTATATGAATCTTGTTCAATGCTTTCCATTGATGTGTTGACAACTAATAGATTCACTACTTATTAACGTAGCCAAAAAAAACGAAAAAGACAAGTTAAAGTTTAAAACAATGACATGATGCTAAGCTTCTCGTCTTTTTTTTTTTCTTTATGTACAGTATTAATCTTTACCGAAGAAGAGAAAAAAAAAATAATTACAGAGGACCGAGGTGGGCAAGATGAACGAAAGGAGATGATCAACCGAATTGATTAAATCGGATCAATTCGTTATTTCGTTCGTCTGTAAACGAAGGCTAGTATGTTATTGTTGTTGTTATCGATGACGACTATACAAATACACAATATACTTCCGGTCAATGTATATAAGATTATAACAAAAAAAAACGAAAGTCAAAGCAATATCGATCAATTATAATTAGTTTCATTGTTATAAAAAATAATAATATATATATATGTATATGCTTACTTTTATTATTGATATTGTTCTGAACTTGTTTTTGTATACAATATTGTTGATCAGAATGTTTTTTTGATAGAAAACGTTTTTCTTTTGGATAAAATTTTGATGAACGTATACTTCCATAGCAACTATGCCATGAAAGACAATCAACCATGGATATTTTATAAATAGGATGAGTGAATAAAGAATGATAGGATGTATCTGGAGTAGGTATAAAAAAAAAATAAAATCGATCACAATGATAACTTACTATGTTATATGTATCTTTCTTTCTCTTGTCTCTCTTTAACATACATTAACAAAGAAAGATGTTCAATTTTCATCATGACGTTTATGCGCATCTGTCTCGTCAAGATAAAAAAAATAAAAAATAAAGAGAAACATGCGATAATCATAATTTTTTGTTCGTTTTCAACGAGACAAGACATACATATAAATGTATAATCAATCGACTATGTGATCTATACATTGTTCCTTCGAAACGCACTCATATAGATATATATCATATCAAGATTAATCGTACGAGAATTATTATTTTTTTTTTTGCATAACGAAACATAGATATATATTTAAATATTACTTGAAAATAGTTTGAATAATGATTTTTTTTTGTGCAAAAAAAAAAAAAATTCGAAAAAAGAAATCTAACCGGGGTGTTCTTTTATTGATTGATCTATTTATCAACAAAAGATTACACGCACATATACGTATTGAACGTGTTGATCTATAAAGTAAAGGCTCATTCGTAGTCTTTCTATGTAGGTGGATCCTGTAATATCTAATAAAAAGAAAAAATAGTGTATAAAATGAATATGAAGAGAGAGAGAGAGAGAGAGAGTATGAGAGAAAAAATAGAACACTTTATGCATATTGTATAATTTGAACTCTAACAAAATAAGAGAAGACACATGCGTATGATTAAAAAGACTTCAGGCATGAAAAGAAATTACAACATCATCGTCGCGTGTATTGATTCATTGATATATTAAGAAAGCAAGAGTGAGAACGAATAAAAGTATGTTATTTTTAACCATCGTCCATTTTTATCGATTGTCAAAATGCGTCAAACTGTTCACCAATCGTGCTAAATACGATGAAACTATTTTATTCATTAGATTCATGTGTATATAAATAATACCGTATACATATCGATTGACAATATCAGTAATAATAAGTACTACATAGTATTTTGATTAGTACTACTAGTAGTCTAATTAATTTAATCTTGTATATTAATTTAAGTGTAAGATAGGAAGCAGGATCGGCTCAAGTGATTTCTTTTCTTTTTTTTGTCTCTCTTTTATTTTAATGTATTCGAGTCTCTTTGTATATATCATGTTCACATACGCTAATGTTCAAACAAAGGATAAAGAGAATTGTGTCATCAACTCGACTAAAACAATCTTTTTTTTCTATACATTAAAACACAAAAAAAAGACATATATTAACTTTCTAATGGAAATATACTTACAACAGATAATACCAAATAAACGTAATCGAAATGATGATATAAAATTCATATTTTCAATAATTATTAATGAGGAAAATCTTTAATATTTTCCTCGACAATAATAATAATAGAAGACTTGAGCCTTCATCAAAATATTAATAAGAAAAAGAAAAAAAGACAACCAGAGTATTCAAAATTTTTCTCCATAGAAATAAATATTGTCTGTAACTGAAAAATTACACACATACACTTGATATTCATATGTTGGTTCAAGGTTTTTTTATCATACGACTATAAAAGAGAACCAGACAGATGAGAAAAAAAAAATTAGTCTAGAAGGCGTCAGATGATTGAAGTATATTTTTTTTTCTTCTTTTCATCGAATATTTTAGAGGGAATATTTGAAAATAACTTACTTCAATTATTCATATAACATTGAACATTATCGTTTGTATAATATAGCAAAGTGAAAAAACAACAACAACAAACACTTTCTTTCTTTTTGTTTTGATTCAAAAGTCAAACAATAGATGTATGTTTATATTATAATGTCTCAAGAAGTAACGAAAAATAAAATTGAAAGCAAAGTATACTGGAATTTATTTATATAATCAATAAAACAATTTTATCTTTTATGATCAAACAACTTCTATTTCATGTTATCTTATTAATCTCATGAACATAAACATGCAAGAATACAATTGAATGAAACTTTTTGTTTGATGATGAATATCAATAATTATAAGCAATCAAATAGAATTTTATTATTAGATGAATGACTAAAGAATACAAATACCATTATAATATTAATAAACAATGAATAGAAGTTAATTAAACATATGTTATTGATTTATTTCTCATGAGAATATTTGTCATATGTACATCAAACAATATGTATGCTTTTTTTTTAGATTCATTCAAAAATAGTTTTGCAATGATTTCATTTAAGTTTTTTAGATCATTGTATTATAAATGTCTAAGTCTTATATTTGAATGCTTCTATTCATTTAAAGTTGATTAGCCTTTTTCCTTTCCCTATAATATGAACAGAAATATAAATATTTCACACTATGTTTTTTTAGTATCGAGTTTGATCTATGTAAAATGTTTCATTTTTCAATCAAGGATTTGCTCATATTTTATTAAGTAAATAAAAATTTATATTATTTCGCTTCTAAGCGAAATAATGAAAAGAAATTTAACACAATGATATGGTTGCATACTGATTTCATATTTCAGAATCGGACAAAAAAAACATATATTTATATGTAAACAGACAAAAATAGATAGAAAGAATGAATATTGTCGACGATGTCTATTCTTTTTGTAGGTTTTAAATTTTTCGAGAAAAAATAATGGTCATTCCATCGAATCGACAAGTAATCTTCACAAATTTAAATGAGATCTATGTGTCAGAGCAAATATTGACGATTTATAATGTCCATGAGCCTGTAGTCATTTGATAAACGATCTAATGTGAAAAAAATCAATCATAGTTTGATTTAACTTGATTAATTTGATGTCGAGATGTGCACTTTTGGTAATATTTTAAGATCATATCTCTTTATTTGTCTTAAGTAAGACGTAAAAAAGCGTTAGACCATTGTTTTCATTTTAGCTTAACTCATAACAGAACAGAAAAGAAACACTCATGATTTAAACGTAAACAAACCGTCAGAGGAAGTGATAGAACGAAATAAAATATTTACAATTAGTGATGAAATGAACTGCAAGATCACGTGTTCTAAATCTGCTGAAATAATCAAAACGGATGATTTTCTGTCATTGATATACATGTTATTTTTTGATACTTGATTGAGACTAGTCTTGGATTATTAATTCATTCGACGATAGTGAAATCGGCGAAAATGCACTAAGTCTATCCTATGACTAATACGTTACAACGTGTTGAAACGTCTCATCGGAAGGAAAGAACATAAATGTTCTATTCGTGTATATTCGAAAGAACGAAAAAGGTTAAAGTCATATTAATGCAATAGTTTTTTTCCTTTATTTCCTTCTTACGCTTTAGATGAAAAAGATCGTTTCGCAATATTTAAAGACATTACAGTCCATGAGTATATTGTTACTGAGTATACATAGAAACGAAACATTACATTTCTTTTAGTACTCGTTACTTCACCTATTTTATTACATTCAATTTTCATGGCTGACAATAGCAACATAAAGTCTACTAAACTTAATGAAATTCATATTTCATCTGGTGATGATGAAACATTTCATCCTGCTCCACTTCCAATCGATGATGATGGATTTATTATTGCGTTTGATATTGAACAACACGATGAAATTTTGACATTCTTCGAAAAACATGGAGTAGTCGTCATAGCAAATGTTCTAACAGAACAAGAATGCGAACGTAGTGTTGATGACGTATGGAAATTCTTGCAGGAAATGTGTAATTCAAATATTGATTGTAATAAACCAGAAACATGGAATTCAAATTGGCCTATGTTTTCACACATGGGCATACTAGGTAATGAACGTTGGTTATATCCTCAAGCATGTGATAATCGACAAAATCCAAATATTTACAAAGTATTTTGTACATTATTTGGCGATCACGAATTGATAACTAATGTTACTCGAGCTGGTTTAATGCGACCAACAAAAGATGTTTATTTTCCGTCTCTCAATAAAACTGAAGATCGAGAAAATTGGAAAACAATATCGAATTGGTTGCACTTAGATATGAATCCATTGACGGGTCGAGCAACAACCTAAGGGTTTGAATATGTAGCTGAAGGTCATTTTGAACCAAGCAATAATCCACTTTCAGCACAGGATAAACTAACAAATAATGGTATGCGTGTAAGAAAATTACAAGCTATATTAGCGTTGGTCGATTGTCGTGAACAAGACGGTGGATTTCATGCAGTGCCTGGCTTTCAACATTACATTGTTACGTGGACCAAACTAAATCAAAAATTATGTTTACGCTCTAATCAAAGTGGAGATCCAACAACTGTTCAAATTCCTAGAGATGATCCTATTCGAGAACATATTCAACGTATGCCAATAAGAAAAGGAAGTTTACTTGTTTGGGATACTCGTTTACCACATGGAAACTATCCAAATAATTCTAATCAAATGCGAATCATTCAATATTTACATATGGCACCAATTGCTGATGAAGCTTTACGTCCTTTTCCATTGTCAAAGGAGGATTTACCTGAAGCTTTTCAATTGACTGATTTAGGTGAAAAATTGTATGGCTTTAAATCATGGGAATCTGACAAGGCACAGCATAGATTTCAAGAGCAAAGAAATTCTGTAGTTGTAGATCAAGCAACCTACGAACGAGAAATCAGAAATTTGATGAAAGCTCGATGTCAAACAAACAAAACTAGTTCATGAAAAATCATTATTGAATTTTACCGAATCTGACATCGATGCACACACTCTTTTTCAAGTAAAATTTGATATTTAAGATAAAGGATGATTTAAAAGCTTTTGCATCGCCCAGTAAGCTGATGTTATCTATATACATATGCATAGATAGATGATATCAAGATTAATTAAACTTGTTTATGTTTAGATCTTGTAATACGTCTTTTAAAATGTTTGATTAAAAGAATCTTCTAATGTGTGAGAATTATTCTAAAATGTGTGAAACTATTTTCACCAACCATTTTGTACAATGCATCATCGATTTTTCTTCTTGATAGTTCTGCATTATTTTGAATTAAAACATAAACTAATGTTTGAAGGGAAAAAAGAACAACTCTACTGAGCATTCCATCTCAAATGACTTTTGACATCCAGTGAGCCAAAGAAAAATTTGAACAAAGCCCCAGGTCGATCGTTCCGGCCACCGGATATTGCAGGAACCGGCAGGAAAATGCGGGAAAAATCACCGTATCCTGCAGGAAAACACCGGAAATAGCCGGAACATGGAAGCAGTAGTCCGGCCGGAAATTCTCCGGATTTTTTCCGGTGAATTCCGGCCAATTTCCTGTGTTTTCCGGCAGGAACCGAGCGGAAAATCAGCGGAAAAAATTCCGAAAATTTCCGGCCGGAATACTGCTTCCATGTTCCAGCTATTTCCGGTGTTTTCCTGCGGGAACCGGCCGGTACTTTTCGACCTGGGGCGATTCATTCAACAACGATTATGAATCATCTTCAAAAGCTACGAAAAACATTCGATCACATATATTAGTTTTCTACACCGCCAAAGTGTAATCAATACATTGAAAAAAATACTATAAGTACACAAATAATCTATTCAGCTATACTTGCTGAATTATTGCTTTCGTAAATTTACAATATCACTCATATTCACTTAGTTTATATTCATTATAACATTTCTAAAAATGAAAAAAGATCTTTTCAAGAGTTATCTGCAAAGTATCAAAAAAGTAAGTTTGAATTCTATATTCCATCATTATCCAAGATGATGAATATCAAAACATTTTATTTCTAGATAAAACATGTCTATAGAAACACAGAAAATCTAATCAAGAGTTTATATGCTGCTGCTACTAAACCATTGATAATTTGTCAGCTTCTTGATTCATTTGATAAAATGCAGAACATTATAGATCATTTCGTATTTTGGCGAACGAAATATATTGATTTTTTTATACCATTTGTAACATCCAGAAGGCTATTTTAAACAATTACTGCATACATTGAAAGCTTATTATAAGGCCACTGATAAATAATGAACAGACTTTAGGTCAATTGAATGAATTTGAAGTCAATTATCGATCAAAGGATGATATACGATGATATATTCGTTCTTTATTTTGAGGATTTGAGCTTCGGTTGCGGATGTAGCTGTGCCTGGATAAGTAGAAGTTATGCCTTTCCATAAACACACTCTCATCAATCCATATCATATTTACTGTTTCAATTCTTGGACTTTCGATGTTTATTTAAATACATAAGCTATGAAATTAACTAACAGAATATTTAATACTTCTTCCTTGCTTTTGTTATGATTTGATAAAATTTTAAACTTTTGCGACTGCATAAAAGACGTTATCAATTAACTATTTGCTGTTTACCAGAACACGAATTTTTTTTTGCTTTCACGTGTATTATGGCGTATTTACTTTCATAATTTCTTCTAAGTCACAACCGAGATTGAAATATGTTGTTGAAGATTGTGAAAACATGAAATCGATATTTATATTCTTTCTTAAAGCAAAGAAATCCATTTGTAAACATAAACTCTGACAAACAATGCTGAAAGAAAAGGATTGCTGCATTTTGATCAGTGTTACATAGATTTGCATCGACAAAGCAAACTAAAAGATGCCAACATCAGGAGAATGCATAGCTCCCTATGTTCCTCGATATAAGCCAGCTTTTCATCAGGTAATTCAACTAGAACACACATGTAAAGAAGAGTCTATCAAAAATATCAAGAGCTAAAATTCAGTATTGCATGCTTTTACTAAATCTTTCTTGAAACAGAATTTCAAACTTCAAAGTAGTTTGATCTATCATAGACCATAATATATTTTTCTTTTACGTGATTTTTATTGATAATCTTGTATTTCGGGCAGGGTCAACTAGTTAATCATCCATCAGTCATCAAATCTATGACATACAAGCAGGAGCGTAAGTAGGGAGGGGGCGCGTGGGGCGTAACGCCTCCCTGCTTTTGAAATTCTCTATGGCAACGCCCCCCTGGTTTGAAAAATTGCTTATGTAGTACGCCCCCCTCCCCCTACAATACTTGAAAGTTTTCGTGATTTTCACTAGTAAAAAGGGCGAAAATAGACATGAAGTAGAAGCTTACTAACTCTTTGGCAAAAAGTGCTGAATTAAATAAGTCTATATCAAACAAGATATAAAGTGAAAAAAAAAATTTTCGCTTCGCAAAAAGTAAGAACTTTACAATTACAACTGACCTAAGAAGTCTGATATATCATTTAAACATTTTCTTATAGTACTTTTTACGCATAAGAGTTTTATTTTTTAAATGGTCACAAGCGCGGCCGCCTTCGGCGGCAAAAACTTTTAAACAAATATCAATGGTTTCATTCAACGACCATTTAGGTTTTGAAACGCAACAACACTGAAATAGAATTTAGACCTGCCGACAAAGCAATTTCGCTTGCATCAATGGTATCAATTGCATATGCCTAACTATATTTTGAAGGCTTAAAACCTATTTCTAGGAAGTTTCTATTAATGCTGCGTTCTATAAAGTATCATTTTCATCAATAGTCGCTGACGTAAACGCCTTCGGCGTTAGACACATCTAGAGACGCTTTTGACTCCATACGATAACAATTTTCTTCCTCAAAATGAAGGAAGGTAGAAAAACCAAATATTTTTCATATTATAAGATGTTTCTACGTTAAAAGTATTTTTGTAACACAATGAGCAAAAGAAGATTACAGTGCTGAAAAAGATTTAGATGGGTCTCTCAATCTGGATTACCTCGGAACAACCGTGTATCCCTTTTGTACTCATCCATTTTTCTGTCATTAAATCTTTGTGTGCGTCTCTCTTCTTTTTAATCCATGCTTCTTTTCTGCTGTAGTGTTTTCCATGTAAAAAATTTGGTTTAAGAATCAGGTTAAAAATTGATGATAATGGCACTAGTATAACCTGATTCAAATCAGATTTTTCAACTTTAAATGACAAATTTTATTTGATTTTGATTGTTTTAAAGCTATTATTATAGTCATTGTTGGTAATCGATTAAAATCGATAGAAAAAATGAAAATCAAATAAAATTTGTCATTTAAAGCTGAAAAATCTGATTAAAATCAGGTTATAATAGTGCCATTATAATCGACTTTGAATCTGATTCTCAATCCAAATTTTTTACATGGGTTCCTGAACTGTATTGTCTACACAAAAAACACATAGCAAACAACTAGAAATCCATTTTTTTAGACACGCACTATCTTAGTCAAAAAATTTTTTAATCTCTCCCAAAAAAACAATTCAAAGGACTACGCCCCCTGCCTTCAATGGTGACTTACGCCCCTGAATATGAGTATAGTTTAATTTGATTAAAACATTGAAAGACTTACATGTCTACACTAATAACAATTTATTATTTATCGAATAACAAAATTATATGTCTACTGACAAACTATTTCAACACTGTTCTTATTAAGCTTAATTTGAACTATCCTCAATGTATTTCCTGTTGTATTTCTTTGTAATCATCTTTCGAAGTAAAAACTGTATGTCGTTATGTCATGCACATCTTTTGCAATCCAGATTCACATGGGATGGGAATACAGACAGTAAAGAAGGGTATATGACTAATCACGAGAAACAATCGAAATTTCCGAAAGAAGAAAAATATTTAGTTGAGACACATTTTATTATCTCAGATAATCATAAAACATATCTGATTTTTTTATTTCATCCGATGCATTGGAATGTTCTGTGAGAATATGATTGTGGTGATATGCATGAGGTTGTGAATGATTAGATGAGTCAAATTCATACCCCACGCATACGACCATATACCATCTTCACCAACATCTACATTCACAGTAGTTGTTCTCATGTGATTTGACACGAGTTTGTATTTGAAAATTGGAAACAACTAGAAAAGAAATGAAGCTGCATAATACCTTGTAAAAATAGAAATATGATTAAACTTTTGTATTTAATATTACTTTCCTACATTGATGAATTCATATATCAGTTACACGATCAAGTTTAATCAATAGTGAAGTTTTACATAATGGCATCTGTAATATCCAGTATTTTCTACCACTCTTCACACGTTCCAATATATGCTGCGAAATTTTAGAAGTGAAAATTAGGAAAAATCTACGAGAACAAATCGATATCATCGTTCATTTAGTAAGTCAGCAAAATTTATAAGTTAGAACACTTTCGTTTGCATGAACCTATGATGAACTTTTTTTTTTAGATACAGGTCAAAATTATGATGTTCTTATTCATTAATCAACATTTGAAACAAGTATGGAAGTTTATACTTCAAAAATGCATCATTGCACAATGGCTTAAGCTATTGATATTGGTTATCGAATGAATGTTAGATATACAATTTTATGACATTTTTCACAACCTTATGCAAAAATTTAATTTCTTTGGTAAACAAAAAGTCATGGTGAAAGTAGAAAAAAACAAAAACAACAATTTATTTTCCGTCGTATCAATTTAAGGTTATCATAAGCATCGAATAACAAATAGACCTCTCGGATTCTCACTCTCCGATAGGTCAGTAAAAGGCTCGGTTTTCGATCAGTCCAATGATTTTTAGCGAAGGAATCAAAATTTGAACAAAATACAAAGAAATTTTATCTATAGATGTCTTATTCTTGAGTCATTATCACCTATCAAATAAATGGAAGAAAGAGATTCGAACATGGATATATACAATTAACATTCGTTGAACATCTAAATTAAATATGAACTATTATGAAAGTTATTTTTTTCCATTGTTAGAAGGATACTACTTTCAGGATTGTTCTTTTAACATTTGCTAACATTTTTCAAAAATTAAAAAAAAAGGAACTTTTTAACCGAATACAAAAACATCTTTTATCAGAAAATTTATTATAGCTATGTTGTTTGTCAAAAATGCTTATGAATTTTAGTCTTGTTATTTTCGTTTAAATTGTGAAATTTAGGAAAATATATGTTGAAAATAAATCACTCTTCTAAGACGTAGCCGAATGCAACAGACATTTGCAAATCATTTTTTTTACAGAAGTTTCACGAAATCAAAATCAATCTTACCACTTGAAACTGTTATTCTGCTTGGTTTACTTCTACTTGAGCACTCAATATAATGCTTCTAATGTGTTTCTTTTCTCAAGTATCAGAAACTTAAATGATTAGTAAGGAATCTAAAAGTGTTTGAAGAGTCGAAAATGGATGTCTGATTGAATACAGTTTTCATGTGATTGGGATTTGATGGCCACCGTGGGGCTCGAAATCAGAAAAGAACGAATAAAAAGTATATATCTCAAATTTTCGGCTGCTTGTCACACCTATCGTATTCTTTTTAAAGTCTGCTTGGATAACTTCTTTTTTTCTTCCTTCATTCCTATTCATATAAGAAAAAAAAAAGAAAACTGAATGTTAAAGAAAATTACTTGTATCTGGTGTGACAATTAACATTTATAAAACAGCTTGCCGTTTAGTCGCACGCAAACGTTTAATCATGAAACTTGTTTTTTCAATAATTATCTTCATAATTTTTTATCAATGTTTCTACAAAGTTGAATCGAAAGAATTATCATATTTACAATTACTTGTAGGTTAGTTTATTTCAATTTTAAAATTTCATTTTTATTTCAATTATATATTTGATAAAAAGTGTTTAAAAAAAAAGTTTTATTCTTTTATTCGTGATAGAACGACAAGGATCAAGTGAAAAAAATCTTGCACCATATAATTCAATACTTGGTGTTGCATCATCAAATGTAATTGCTTATTCAAATGGTAATGATGATTATTTTTCAAATGAAAATAGTTATTTATATGGAATATATATGGGAATTAAATGGCAATGTGTTGAATATGCACGTCGATGGACATTTTTACGTAAAAGTTCTATTTTTGAAAATATTAAAGATGCTAATAATATGTGGAGCCAATTAGAATATATTGAAAGAGTTATTGATAAAGAAAGTTTTCCATTAAAAAAACATCCAAATGGTTCTCCAAAGCGACCAACAAATGAATCATATTTAATTTATCCAAGACAAAAATATATTCCTTATGGACATGTTTCTATTATTGTTGAAGTTTTAAGAAATTCTATTAGAGTTGCTGAAGAAAATTTTTACTTTACTTATTGGAAACATAATTATGCTCGAGAAATTCCATTAGTGTATGAAAATGGTCTTTATTATATTAAAGACCAATATACAATTTATGGATGGATGGAAATAGATGATAAAAAACAATTAAAACCATTAGACAGATCAACAATTGAAAAAATTCGAATGAAATAAGAAAGCGCAAAGATTTGACTTCTATTTCTCAAGAAACATATTCATATTCATTATTTATTTCATCTTCTTATTTTTCATTCTTCATTTTATTTTGTTCTTCTTATATTTATTGTGATATTACTACGAATTTATAATCAACTTATTAAATAAACTCATTTCATAAAATTAACACAAATATATACATAAAGTTACGGATGTGGACATGAGTGTGAATGAAACGAAGATGCATACCCACATCCAAAATGTATTACTATTTTAATGAATTATCGATTATTACAACATTATTTCTAAATGATGCATTGAAATGCACTGAAAATTCATTGAATATTGAAGCATTTGACAATTATTTCAGATAATACATGCTATCCCTTGATTTTGAATAAATTGCCAATCATTGGAACATTAGTTCCAAAACGAAAAAGAATGAATTGAAATGCGTTGAAACTACGAAAAAGCATACATTTCCATTCATTTTTTTAATGTTTTTTTTTTTTACAAAATAATGAAAAATAAAGTATCATTTCTGCATTATTCACATTACTGAAAATGATCAGTATACACTCGTTTATAAATTGATATTTTAATATACTCAAGAAGATCTCTTTTAGTAAAATGCTTGAATTAAAAATAATTCAATGAAAATTATTACAATACAAGCCTGTAAAAGAATTCTACAAGTCTGTCAGCAGAAAAAGATGATATTGATGTTAATAGCTACTGATATTTTTCTATAGTTTCTGGTAGCTCATTGCAGACCATAAGAGAAAGCTTATCAAGGTTCTAGATGTGTGTTATTATTAGCTTTTCCATCATCTACCTATCTCCACATCTTTCCTATTAACATTTGAATTAATAGACACATACTTGTATGACATAAATAAAAAGACTTTATACTCTTCTTCTTAACAAATTATTGAAGGCGTTTTATTGAAAAAGAATAGTTTTATAGAGTTTCAACAGAATTAGCTAATAAAAATTCGTTGTTAAATATAAATAGATATTTTTTGTCTTCTATGTAACATTAAAAATTACATAATTCTGAAATATCGTTCATCAACGATATTTGAATCGCTGAAAAACTCACTTAAAATGTTTGGCTTTAGGACACTCTCTGGTATTCAGTCGATTCACTTCTCCGATTCTTCGTTTTCAAATTATGTTATTGCACAACTTCTCGAAATCTCGTATTTGGCCTAGAGCGAGTCATCTATAATATATCAAATCGAACTATTTCCTAATGTTGAAAGTAAGAATAATAAATTTTGCTAAAGTTTTAGAAAGTTCTCTTTCTCTATCGATCATGTCTTATAAATACTTATGCATGCACAAAATAGAGATGTTCATCGATTAATTTTCACAGGTAAAATAAACGCCTATTATAGTAATATCAAGAAGAGTTTTCTGGTATACGGTAAAGTTACACAAAAGAATCTTATTCTACACATCTCAAATATAGAAAAAATTTGAATGTAACAAACAATTTTACCTGAAATTATAAACTAAGAAAAATAATAAGTTCATTTTTAATTCTTCAGCTAGACTAATATGATTCATTCAAAAAAAAAGTGATGGAAAAAATTTCCAAATTGAAACTTAATTTAAAGTCTTTTATCTCCATTGTTTTTAGATTTAAATTACATGGTAGAGTTTTTTTAAAGTCTTTTTAGAAAAATTATACTTAAAAACGGTGAATTAAAGAGTCATAAAATCTATACTGTTAAAAAAAGATGCCATTGTGTAGTAGGTTCGAACCATACACGAATTTGAAATGTAAACAAGCAGTAACTAGATTCAACTTCATTATGATGTTGAAAATACATATAAAAAATTAATCTCTTGAATTAGCTTCATAAAATAAATACTTAATTATTACTCTATTTATTATTAAGATTTTAAAAAACCTGTATGTAGTCATATCCATCAGAATGTTATTGTAATTATAGCAGTCGATACTAACTATTTTGTAATATACATATTATTTCGTTTTTTAAAGAAGGAAACGACTCTGAAAATGAATTATGAATACTTATTAATAATAATGATTGATATCTTATAAAAAAATTATATAGATGATTGGGTATGATTTGGGTGTAAATATCTGAAAGAGGATATTATGGACATGCATACTGACAATCTATCCTTACCCATACTAATGTCCAAATCCTACACTCCATACCGATCCTGTCCTCGCGCCTCATCTAATTCAATGTCTATAAGAATGATAGTAAATGACGAGTTAATACTGCATAATTCGAACATTTTCTCTTTAAGATTTCATCATGCCGGTATAGTCTAATGGTAGGATAAGAGACCTTCAATCTCTCAGTCTGGGTTCAAGTCCCAGTACCGGCAATGTTCTTTTTTTTTGTCTTTTCATCGTTTGTGATTCATTTTGTAATTCATCAAAGATATAATTTCATAATTTCAAATGTTCTGTACGAACATTGGTCGACGCATTCTATGAATAAAGAACGAGAAAGAAAAAGCAACAACATACAAATATTTGAAAAGCTACATCTCTTTGTTTTTCTTGTTACGATTTTATCGAATAATATCTTTCCATATCTTCATTAACATAGTCTATTTGTAAAAAATACAAGTTTGTTTCGTTAAAAAAAAATGAAATAGACGAGAATAAATTTTAACTGTTTATTGTCAATTTCATATTTTACTTCTGTAATTTTTTCACTTTGTCAAAAGCAAACATTTGTAAGATAATAACAAAAAATATGATTTTCGATCAATGATGTAATGCTCAATTGCGTCGCTATGCTTTATTGGTTTGTGTGTATCGTCAATATGATTTAAATGTTGCACAAATAGGATATTGTATGAGTACGACTAGTATAGACTTATCTAGACTACCTTATCCAGGAATGATGACGGAAGAATAATGATTAGTGCCAGTCAATTTAGCTAATATGCTGTTTTCCTTTGTAGATCAGTTATAAGAATGAAGATTTTTAATATAGTTTTTCAAATTGATCCTACTGTGTTTATTATCACCATTGTGAACATTCTCAACAATCTGATAGTATCAATAACAGAGAAACATAAACAATGTCTTTCTTTTTGCGCGACACTTTATTGAATCTTCGAATAAAGTTTGTTGAAAAGGATAATAGATAGTGGACTAAATGTTTTACTCTACTAAATGGTATGGGTAATAAGTGAAAAACAAACGAAAAGAAAAATTAGTATTGTTTTCCTAATGTAGGCGTTTTCAGAGATATAGCTGAAAAATTGAATAGAAAACACATTCTAGATTTACAGATGGCATTAGCAAAACAAATAAAAATTTGCACGAATTCAAATGGATTGTAAGAATATGTTGAAAATTATGTTTTTTTTTTCTTTATCTATCTACAAGGTCTCAATGTTACGCTGATGTCATTATTCAATTTAGTGATTTTAGTTATATGTCTAATATGTTAACTAAGTTTATCGTTTTCAAAAGAATCTACGATTTATTCTACTGAAAAAAACTAGTATATTGTACTTAGAGAAGTACTTTGAACACTATAATCATACTAAATAACTGAATAATTATTTTTCAATCAGTTATGCTATGCAGCAATTAATTCGGATTTCAATATACTTCGTTGATTGTGAAAAAAGGTGCACTTAAGAAAATGAAATAACATAATTTGATAGGTCACAAGATAATTTTTTTTATCAATTAAACAATAAATGTTTCTGAATAGAGTACTTCGTCTTGTGCAATGATGCATCAGACGATAGTTAATATAAAAATGTTTTGCTTATTCTGTTCTGTATTGCAACATATTGCATCAGATTTTGAAATTATGCAAAAATATACGAATAAAAAAGGTAAAATAGCAGCGAGTAGTTTCGATCTACCGCCCTCTGAGTTATGAGCCCAGCACGCTTCCACTGCGCCACGCTGCTTATGTTCAACTTTCGCGTACAAAGCAGTTATGATAGTAAACCTTTTTCTCAATATTATTGCATTCGTATGCATATCCTGTACGGTCCACATTCCTCTAACAATCTTTTATTTTTCTTGTTTATCCTAAAATATCAAGTCGAAGATCAGTTTTGAGATTGTATATTTATTAGAACAACGTATATATTCATTTATAAGATTTGGCTTGATATTTTCTCTGTTTTATATCTCTATGCAACACTGATTTCAATCAACTGAAGAGGGACAATAATGAATAGATGGCAGGACGAGCAGGCAGCTATCATCGGCCATGAGGTCAGAGTATCTTGTCGCATATTGTCCAGTGGTCTTGACATCATTAAACCAATAGAAATTAAGAAAGGTCATGTCCTTACTATTGACACGCGACCTAATACAACTAAAATATACTCTTATTCATCGCCGAATTTTTTTTCTTTTAGCGCTCTTATTCACCATTACTTTAACAGCTGATTTGCATACTTCCATTCAACATGCAAACGTCTGTTTTATCTATTGCTTTTCTATGTTTCTTAATATTACCAGTTGATTGTTTTAACGGTCCATATGATTCAACATGTAATTGTACTTCAATATCATCGAATAGTAATGTTTGTCTTCAGTATACTTGTATAACTAAAAGACGTGAATCGAAATGCTTTCCTGGTCGAAGTACTGTTATAACTGAATATGGTTCAATGAAATCTTTATCAAATATAGAAATTGGTGAACGTGTATTAGTTATGAATAAAGAAAATAAATTAATTTATGACCCTATTGAAGGTTTTATTCATTTAAAACGCAATGGTTTATTTAGTTTTTTATTAATTATTATGAAAATTGACGATCATAGAAATATTATAACATCTTTATTTATATCACCTAATCATTTAATATTCTTAGCAAATGATACAGAATTAAAATCTGCTATATTTGCTAGTCAATTGCATTTAGATGATCATATACAATATGTTTATAAAAATGAAATTATATCAGCTAAAATTAAAAATATTTATTTAACTATACAGGAAGGTTATTATGCACCATTAACACCATCAGGTACAATTATAATTGA